GCCGGCAGGAGACGCGGGGAGAGCTGGGGTGGCGCCTGAGCGGATGGAGGGCACGGACCCCTGCAGATGTCGCGAGTGTGGGCACTGGGGTAACGGTCCCTTATCCCGGGATAGAAACGGATAAACGGAAGAACGTTCGAGTGTGGGGGTGCGAATCACCACCTCCGGCCTTTGCTTTCCCGCTCTTCCGAGCGCTCCCACTTGTCACTTCCCCCAAATCCGCATTTTCCTTGGCACAGCTCTCCCGGAGCAAGAAGGAGAGGGAGGTACCCGGGGGCAGTGAGAATGACGTGTGCTGGTGCAGAGAGGGGGTGGGGGGCTGCGGGCCGGCTCTGTAGACTGCCTCCTAATCCTCTTGTTTTCGGTACAGTCAGCAGATGTGGGTTCTTTTAGCTGAATAATCCGTTAAAGGAATGATAATTTTTAAAAGGGGGATCTACCTCACCCAAAGAGGACAGCGAACGAGATAAGGGCTTGGTAAGGATAAATTAAAAGGCTCCAAATTCTCTCCGTCCCTCTCTGCCTTCCTCTCTCCCCTCCCCCTCCCTTCTTCCTCTTTCTCCCCGCCCCTCCTCCCCCATCCCCTGCCATCCGCACTCGACGCGAGTTCACGCGCAAGGCTGGATTTCCAAGCTGAACCGCAACTTGCGCGGCGCGCTATTATTATTCATCTGACAGTGCTGCCTCCACAACCTTTGCCTCCTGCGCTGCTCTCCTTCCCCCCGGCCGCCGACGCCAGCAGTGCAGTCCGCCCTGCACGCATCCTCTGGTTCGCCAAAAGGAGATGCTGACTTTTTTTTTTTTTAATCAAACTCATGATCATCATCATGATGCTTCTTATGCTGGCTGTCATTTCCTCCGGCCAGGTGGAGCGACCACCAGCGCTTTCTCAGGGCTCGGCCCCGGCGGCCGCTCCTCAGATTCCACATCCCTCCGTAGTTCATCTGCATGCCTATTATCTGATCCCTTTTATTCCAGTAGATGTACTGCCTTTCGTTGGACTGGCTGAAACGCTGCGGACTGCGACCAGGCTCTTTAAAAGAACAAAAAGATGAAGACCTTGTGTGGACACACGGACAAAGCTCCTTGGGGTCCTCGAGCTGGGACGCGGGAGCGCCGGCCCCGCAACACGAGTAACCTCTACTGTCAAGGGACGGTCGCCGGCCGCGCGGACCTCTGCGGGTATTCGGGATTGAGTTTTATTTGTCCTTTTGGCATGCTTTAGCGATGTCATTGTTGGGGGGTGGGGGCGGCTTGAGTGTGAGTGCTGAATCGTGGGAGCTCCAGGCGCATTTAACTTGGACTTGCCGCTCCCCTGTCTCCCCTTCCCTAGATCCGGGGGTTGGGGAGGGGTCCTGGGGACCAGAAGCTTAGAAAAGAGAAAACGCCGGAGCTCTTGCCGGAAGGGCTATGGGCGTAGAGGGGTGAGGAGGGGAATGGGGTTGAGCCAGCTGGTGGGAGATTGTAGATGAGAAGGGGGGGTTTGTTGCTTCGCTGGGTTTTTTGTTTATTTGATTTGCACGGGTCTTCAGGATGCGTTTTGCTGGGAATAGAATGAGTCCCTGCCTATAGGATCTCTGAGAAATTGTTCTGTCCGTGCATATGCATAAGGAAGCAACTAGATTGGTGTGTAAACAGTGGAGAGGAGGGAGAGGAGGAGGGGAGTTAAAATATTCCTATTGTCCTTGTGATTTGGGGGACCCTCGTCCTCTGTCACACTATCCTTTTTTAACTTTGGGGTTCAGCCATATTATACACAAGTGACCTTTTAAATTACGGCTACCCTTTACCTGGTGAAGCCCATTGGCAGCTGGCGGGGGGTGGGGG